ATTTTAATGAACATTTACAGAGAATTTGGATTTCCATTCATTCATTGCTGCACTTCTCTACCCGCCCAGCCCTCTTGCCCTGCCCCCCAGTTCGCTCCTCTCTTTCAAAAGTAAAAGACTCTCTCCCTGGTACACAATCCCTCCGCACCCCTCCCACCGCCCCAGGTACATTCCACTATGCAACCTTAATTGTGGACTCTTGTGATAACTATTTTATACTGGTTTGCTTCCAGAGTTGGTATACAATGTTTTTCACACCACATCTTTCTCAGAGGAAATCTTTGGTTATATAAAAACAAAAAGCCAAAAAGAGGATACACATTTCTTAAAAAGAAATTAATGATAACATTTCTTGAGCCATTTTTAGCTATCATAGTAATTTACTGCTAATATAGTCATCCATTCCTCTTTAAAAACGAATGTGAAGACTAAGCCATAAAAACATATCCAATCAAATGGTGAAATAGCCAATCAAGTGGCTCAGGATTTGAATCCAGGAAATTTTATTTTGGAGTCACATATCCTAAATAGTTCAAATATATCTCATAAGGTTGCTTTTAAAATAAGGTGAATCCTATGAATTCATTGAATACAGATGAAGTAATTATGTAAGAGGCTTAGCATATCTCCTGACCAAGAAAGCACTACTTAAATTTTAGCTTGCCTTCCTTGGGGAGATCTGGAGCACTAGTCTATATAGCAAGTTGGCCTGGTAATATCTCTCTACCAACAACTCCCAGGGAGAAAAACCTACAATTTACAGTCTTAGGAACCCAGGAAAATATCAGTTACTAGTCACTTAAAATGCTATAGTAATAGAGTTTCCTTCCTTTGGAAACTAATGGAAAATTTTGGAAAGCTATATAATACAAAAAGAAAAAGATTCTTTGGTAAATGTTAATTCAACTATCAACAATCAGATCACATGACCCTTTGTTCAAATGTCATTAATTTAAATATGTAGACAAGGTGACCACTTTGTACATCAAGCTGTGAGACTGAGAACTGATTTGTGTTTCTCCCTGGGTTTGCTAAACCAGTGCCTGGTCACAAGGCTTATCATAATAGTATTACACTTGTGATTTGCATTATGACTCAGCAAATTATAATCTTGAGATGCAGGCCAACTCTCCTAGATACATAATGACACTAAGTTAATTCATGTCTGATATTGAAAGAATTATTCAATGTTATATGAATGACAAAATTTGGAAAAATTTATTTCAGGTCTCTTATGCCATTGCTTTTGGTTTTGTTTTTTTTTACTCTTAAATGGCAACACTTTATATTCTGTG